AATAAATAAATAGGGTAGAAGGGACAGTTCTTCCTTATAGGAGATTTCCAGTTAATAAATGTGGAAGGAACACAGGAAATAGGAAATTGGCATTAACAAAACACATAAATAATTGCCACAAATACGATTCTCTGATGAATCATAAAATTAGTGGGTGAAAATTTGAGGAGAAACAAAATTTATAATCTTCAAGTATCTTCCTCAAGATCTTCATTAACCACAAAAGGAAACAGTAACTTTATAGTGATGACATCTGACAAAAATTAATTTAACCAAATTGCCAAAGTCAGTATCATAATAAAACATACTGGTATCATGGATCTTATGATGTGATGCACTGAAAGAATGCATTTTTGTGCATTCTTGCTGAAAATGCGTAGGCCCCAGGCCAGTCATTAGAAAGTGTGGGCCCGGGCTGGGGATGTGGCTCAAGCAGTAAAGTGCTTGCCTGGCATGCGTGGGGCGCTGGGTTTGAGCCTCAGCACCACATAAAAATAAAATAAAGATGTTGTGTCCACTGAAAACTAAAAAATAAATATTAAAAAATTCTCTTTCTCCCCCCCCCCTTTAAAAAAAAGGAACTATGGGCCAAACCCAAATGAGATAATAACATTTGTCAAGATAATTCTTCAGAAAACTCAAAGTCAACAGATAAGAAAGAACCTAAATACTTTGGCATACTCCTATAACCCCAGCTATTTGGGATGCTGAGGTAGGAGGATCACAAGTTTGAGGCCAGCCTGGGTAACATAGTAAGACCTTGTCTCAAAAATAAAAAGGGGGACTGGGGTTGGGACTGTGTGCTTGCTTCACATGTGTGAGGCACTGGATTTGATTCTCAGCACCACATATAAATAAGTGAACAAAAATAAAGGTCCATCAATAACTAAAAAAAATTAAAAATAAATTAAAAAGAATAAAAAGGATGTAATGCAGTGATAGAGTGCTACTGGTTCAATCCCCAGCACTCAAAAATGGAAGAGAAAAGAAAAAAGAAAGGCAAAACTGAGGAACTGTTATGAATTGGATGAGACTAAAAAGACATGACAACTAAATATACAGTGGGATTTAAATAAATAAATATTCTTTTTACAGTATCCAGTTTT